CAATTTGCTCAATAATTAACTGATAGATACCGAACCCCAAACAACGACCAAGCTGTCAGAGGCAAACTGAAGAGCAGCAAGGATTTCTTTCTGGAAAGGAGAAAGGCTGCCACACCTCAGCTGTACGAAGCAGACCCACCACTCAGTTTTGGTGTCACACAGATATCTAGAGCAGTCGTGACACAAAGCAGAAAAAATGCTCAACAGCAAGTTTTAGACTACAGTCACAGATGTTCCACGCAGATTTTAAGATGAGATGCTAACCTTGCCTTTAAAAATAGAAGGAAATTAAAAATAAAGGAATAAAAAAAATCTAAAGCCCACCTACAGAGTAAAGATTGCACGTGCACATGGATATAGATGCGGGTAATGCTTAAAAACCAGCTTGAGGTCATACAGCAAGTCAGAGGCAGGCAGGAGAACAGCATCCTCACTTTGCTTCCCTGCTGAAGTCCATGGCAGCTTCACTTCCTATGTTTACGGGGAAATGTCAAAATAATCGTATCGCTGATATCCATTTATCTAAACTGAAAAGCGGTGTTTCCTATTTTGTCTACAACGGCAAATTACACAAGTCTGAACCATTACCAGAAGCAATGCCCTTCAGGAAACAGCAAGACAACAACTGGGCGCGTTATTTGTTGTTTCCAGCGCTGCCAAACACCAAGGATAGGGCTCCTTCCTGGAGGCAGGGTGTAGCAGGGCTGTCGAGTTAGAGTCAGGCAATCTGCTGAGTTCTCAGAAGTGCCTCTGTGCAGTTCTTAATATGGAGGAGTTCAGGTAAAAAGCAAATTAATACATACAATCTTGGAAGAAAAAAAAAAAAACAACATAGAAACCTCACACTGGAGGACAATTTACCTTTAAAAAGCAGAGATGGACTGGACTTCCCATAACAACTGCAATTGAATTTGTACCACAGACTTCTCAGAAGGCACTCAAGATGAGACTTTATTTTTTTTTTTAATTTTTTTGGTGGGGTTTGGGGTTTTCTGAAAGCTAGGTCTCAGACTTCCAATGCTAAGCTTGCGATCACTAAACAAGTACAACATACTAATTGTCTATTAAATGCCAAAGTTATATTAAGACCACGTGTATTCTCACAGGTACACTTTACAGAAGCAATAAGAATTACTTACGGATTTAGCATTGCTGTTAACTGCTTGATGCATGGAACTTACAAGCAGAATACAGGTCAGGGCTCCCTATACCCTTACTCACTACTGAGCACAGCTTTTCTTAATGAACAAGAGATCTTTTAATCAATAAAATCAAAGTGCCACAGATCCTCAAAACAGCTTTCAAGGTTTCAAGGAAAACTTTTACTTTACATGTGAAAAAAATAAGTCAGCATATTTGGTTTTAACTATACATTTGTTTTACTTTGTCTGTATCAGTTCTGAAGACCTGACATAAAACTGAGCTTAAAATCACATCAGAGTTATACCCGCGTATGAAACCTGGCCATCGTTATCACATCTAGATGGCCAAGTTTGTTTTCCAACCTCTAAATGTAGACAAAGTATTTGGGGAAGCAACCAAAACGAGCCACTGTCTCACTGCTACTCTCTCCACTTAATGGAATACCCAGGAACAATTCTTGCTTTCAGTGCACTGGAGTATTTTGATAACTAGACTAATAGGCTCAATGCAGCTGTACAATGGCTTAATTAGTCAGGAAAAGGAGTGGCTGATTCTCATTTCCAGAAAATCCTTAAGATTAAAAAAAGAATACATAGCGCCACACTTCAGTCCGTGTCTCCTATTGCTTGGCTTTCTCATGCCTGTTTCACACAGAGGTGAACTTTCTGTAAAAAGAAGTTTGTCTGTCTGTCAATGACGACTAGTAACTAAAAGAATAAAATATTTGCACCGATTTAACCACAACTCTCCCAGGAAGCAGGCAAAGCATGTGTCTACTCTCTTTGGGGAAATTCTCTGCTTTGATGGTCAGACTGAAACTCCTTTCTCTTCCCCTAGTGACTCAATGCAGCCTTTTCACCACCGCCATCTCAAGGAATCAGAATGAGCTCAGCACACGAGGAACTGTATTCGGAATAACAAAAATTAGGACCTATTTCATAATAAATAGCTCTACACTAAGCAGTGGCCGTACAATCATCAAAACCGTCTCAGATCAAAAAGCTGCAGAGCTGTTTTGCAAAACCAGACCTCAGGCTCTTAAAATGAGAGTTCTTGGTTGATTATGACTGACAGGCTCACAATCAGGAGCTCACATCTCGTATAAAACAATTATTTGCCTACATGCAGCTTATACCGTATTAGGCAGAAAAGGAAATAAATAGCTCTCAGCTTCGAAATTAAATTATTAATTTCTCACTATCTGCAAGAATAAAAGGAGGCTTTAATTCAAATCTGGAGAAAGAGGCCCTGACAAGATAACTTGCCATCTGTGCCTTTAGTTATCTCCAAAGCCCATTTTGATACATGGAATAAGAGAAAACGCTCGCTCTCCGGACATAGTTTCCAAGGATTGCCTCCTGCCATTCGTTTTCTTTTAAGAAACCCTGCTATTATCAAAAGCAAGACGTTCAAAAAGCACAAATGACGTATAGGGTCACGGTCCTGTGCTCAGCGCAGGCATGCAGACAGGCCAGGTAAGGTACCTCCTACAGGACTCAGAGCTTGCTTCCCCTTGGGGCTTTTCAATCTCTCCCACCAGCTTCCATCACGACCGTAGTAGACCCTTTGCTTTAAACACTGCCTCAGCGTTTTAGGGGCACGTTTACTTGTGTCATGAAGAGAAGCAGGTAATAAGAACACTCATTCCTACTGTGCTCTTCAGACAATGTCACTTCCTCAAACACGAGCCACGAGCTCCACGCACGAAGGTCTAACCCATAAACGCAAACGGCTCCTGTCCTCAGCTGTCCTCCGGAGTCTCTATTTTCATCCAAACACAACACCCAGAAGTCAAGGACTTCAAACAGAGTCCTTGACTACCAAAAGCAGTAAGATCTCATTGCACACAAAGGAGCAATAAGCACGGAGTACCTTGGTGATGCGAACCCAAACAGGGACAATAACTGCCATACTGGGAGACCTGACACTGCCCCGTGCCAGCTCTGCTCTGAGCCAACCTCCAAGGATGCCCACAGGCCTGGCTGTCACACAAGTGCTGAAGCAGGCACACGTGAAGAACTCATCCTCGTGAATTACAAGCGCTGAGGTAGATCCCACGAGCAATCTAACCACCAGCAGCCACAGGATAACGCAGCCTGGCCCAACACGTTTCCTGCGCCATCAGGCTCCATGCAGGAGCTCCAATACCACCTGCAAACTAGCAAATCTGTTTCCTTTGTCCACGTGGAAAAAATAAAGCCATTCTTGCACAAGCAAAGACCCTGGGAAGCGCTGAAGCAGACACAACAGCCTCGTGGCTACCGACAGCAGAGAAAAAACAGCCTGGGCCTGCAGTTAAGGCGCTTCCTAACCCCACGCCCCCATGGTACCAATTACAGCTATTCCTGAAAGGGAGGAGATCTTAGCTGTCCCTCAGAAGGTTAAGAGTTCAAAATCCACTAATGATAATGATTCATGTGGTGAAAAAAAAAAATACATAAGAGTTAACACTCAAATTTCAGAGCAATGCTGGGACTATTTCGTTTTGACAAGAATTTCAAAGCTGTGGCACTACTATTATCATTTGCACTGTGCTTAAAAACATCACATGCAAGATACTACAAACAAAGGAGTGCAACACGTCTCTACAACAAGACGTGTTACCTCCATAAGGCACATTAAGACAGACACAATAAACTGGTTTTCAGAGATCAGCTTCATTACCCTGTAAAAGCAGGGCTGTCCTAGGAAGAGGTACAGACCGTTTTGCCTGCTGACCTGACAACCAGAAGCACTCTTCCAGTCTCATGGCTCTTTACTCATCTGGTTCTGAGTGTTCACAATCAAGTTTTCACGACTTAGCAAGCAACCACACATCTGCTGACCACGCACACTCGCTCAGCCTGGAGAAGAGGCACGAGCAAAACATATTTACGTAAACCTCACGGAACTAGGCTTGAAGTAATGCATTTTAATGTCACGTTCTCAACAGGCTTCAAAAGTTAGCAAGCATGGAGGTCCTACAGACCAGCAGATACTATATCTGAAGAAGTTCCTGCATAGGACAATGATGGGGAACTTGGAGAGAGGGTTGGAGACCGCAGCTCCTGCATGGCAGAGATGCCCTGGTGCTTTATGTTCACTGGTAAACTCTGCTCTGAAGAGTCTGTGGTAGCGCCTGCAGGGTGCGTGGTAGCACGCAGGCGCAAGAAGTCCTTGCCCTCAGCTTCTCTCCATAATTCCTGCTAGAAACATTCACATCTTGCTTGTGCAGCAGGCTCCAGCCTCTTGTCCAAACAGCCCAGACCAGCCCAAACTTCTCATTTCTACCTTTTGTGCTACCCAGGCTCGTTTGGGCAAGGGGGCGAGCAGGGGTACGTGGCACCTGACAGGAGCGGATCAGCCTGTGGATCCCCCAAAATCTGTGAATTTGGGATTCCCCAGGCAAGGAGCAAGACCAGGGAGCTGTGACCTTCCAGCAGGACCCAGAAAAAGATACCAGGACCCAGGAGAGGCCACCAGCACCCAGCCAAGCCTGTGAGCCCTGCACCACGCCGCCTCACACACAAGGAAGACAAGAGGCCTCTCCTCCCCAGCATACACATTTTGGGCTGTTTCATGAACACACGGATCAAAACCTCGACAGGTTTTAAAGATTCGCTGAAAGAAAACTCTGCGGATCCGCCTGCCGGCAGGGATCTCTGGAGGCTTCAGGAGCGCTTGGGAAGCGGGATGCTGGCAACGCAGCCAGCATCAGCAGCGCGCTACAGCCTTCGGGAGGGAGACCGAGACATAACACGGCCAGAATAAACCCCAAACCCAAAGCGAACGGACCCTGAGGGGCACCCGGGCGGCGTTTTCACGCCGAGCACCGCGGGGAGGGGAAGGAGGGAGGGCAGGGGCCGCCGCCGCCTCACCTGGACACGCAGTTCTCCAGCACCGAGCTCTTGCCGGCGCTCTGCCCGCCCACCACGGCGATCTGCGGCAGGTCGAGCAGGCAGCTCTGGCCCAGCGCCGCGAAGGCGTCCTGCAGCCGGTTGACGAGCGGGATGAGCCCCTCCATCCCGCCGCCCCGCCGCCCCGCCGCTGACAGGTAACGGCCGCCGCGCCGCGCATGCGCCCCGCAGCCGGACCGCGGGGGGCGTGGCCTCGGCACTGAGGCCACGCCCCCTGCCGGCGAGGCCACGCCCACCGCGGCCGTGGCGGGAACCCCGTGGCGGGAGCGCGGCCACGTGTGCGCCCCCCGCCCCGCTCCTATAGTGGGGTGCTGGTAACGGGGGGGTCCCGGTTACCCCCAGGCAAGTCACGATCGCAGCCTTCTGAAGCGTTGCTGGGAGCCAGCAGAGCACCGCTGCCTTCCCGTGAAGGGCTTCGAGGCTTTGCTTCAGCGCCGTGGGGAAGAACTGCACTGGGTTCAATGGGAAGCACACGCTGAGGCTGAGCTGAGCACGTAACGCGAGGCTTATCTGTGATTGCTGGCAGCAGTGACAAGGCAGAAATATCCCAAACACAGGCTTTGGAGCCCTGCAGCGATGGTTATCCTCTGTATTTAGCCAGACACCGGTCGTGCTCAGCGTGACTAGCGAAACAAAAGGGAACGACTGCGAACATCCAAGCGGCTGACAGGCACTAATGAGCTGGAGCGTCATCAAAACTTCTTGGCCGGGGCTCTCAGTTAGTGTAAAAAAGTGAATCCCTACAGCTGAACAGCTTCTAGCCATAAACACAAGAAGGGAAGGCAAACTGTACACAGATAACTGTGTGGGAGCCGAGCAGCAGCAGGAGCCCCCAGGCACATCCATTCACAAAAGGTGGATTTGGGAACACGTTGCCAGCACCTCCTTGTGCTCAGAGCAGCAACCCACAAGCCCAGAGCAAACAGCCGTGTGAGCAGCACACTCTCGAGGAACCCAGTGCCCTGTCAATGCCTACAGCCCTGGGGGTTTGGGCCTAACTGCACACACGTCGTTAAGCCCCTCTCCGAGGTAAGAGCTGGACTTGTTCTGGTGCCAAGTAAAGAGGCCATCGGTCATCTCACCAGGAGAGACTGTGCTTTAGCTCAGGCTGAAATGTTTTTATCAGCAGTGTAACGCAGGCACAGCTTGTGCAGAGGTTGCTTTGTCACTGCGGTCAGATCACCCCCCCAGACATCAAGGCAAAACCCATGAACCTTTCCGTCTAGATGGGGCCCGGGGTTATTGACATAATTATGCCAATTAGCAGCATGATTCTCTTCTTCACGCTCCCGCCTAAGCAGGCCGTGCCAGGAGGCACTGGAGTAGCTCTTTGGCCTTCTGCCAGCCCATGGGTTCCTGCTGAGGCCGGGAGTCAGGAACAGCAGCATCGCTTTTTGGCAAAATCCTCCCCGTGTGAGTGTAGGAGCACTTCTTACCACCCCAGTGAAATAATTACAGAGGAGCCTGGCAATAGGGCCTCATCCATACAAGGGAGAAATGACCCCTAGAAAAGGGAGGATTCCTTGGGAGCGATGCTGTGCACCCCTGGAGCTGGTAACCTGAGGACCTCTCCTTTCCATTAGTTTGCTTTTTAATGGTCTTTGTTTCCTTCCATAATTTTAAATAAATAAGGAGCTAACTTCTATTATTAGGAGGACTGAATTATTCCCCTGAATCTGAGAAGTTTCCAAACCAAACACCATTTCAGCCTGAGCTGAGTTAAAGCCACTAAATGACGTGCTTGCCCTTGCAGCTCCAGGACTTAAAAAAAAAAATCCAATATCCCCCCCTAAAAGCCAAGAATACAGATTTCCCACCTTGTGGAAAAAACGTGAATATTTGCATTATGCCTGCACGTGCTACCACAAGGGTGCCCATTTTTCAAACAGCTCCAAGAGATCGGCAAAGAAGGAGGAAGGAAGGGCACTGAGGCACATCTTCAGTTACCCTGCACTCAGAGCTGTGCCCCACAATATTTATCATTGCCTTTTGCCACGTGTTGGGCTCAGCCAGGAGCCCTGGCTCCCCGGCACGGTGGGCAGGGGGCTGTCACCTCCAGGTGCCACCGTTCCTTTCCCACAACCAGCTCTCCCTAAGCAGGCAGCGCGATGCTAAAAACGGGGACGTTCAGAGCAGGTCCCCAGGCTGCTTTATAAATACACGCCAGCGCAATTCCCTGCACGAGGAACGGGTTATATATGAACTGCCACAGAGGATGCCTGCAGTGAGCAGCTGGGCACGCTGTCCCTGCGACGAAAGCGAGCAGAGCCCAGCGGGGAGCAGAGCCCGGCCGAGCTTGCTTCCTCCCCCGGGACACGTTCAGAAGAGGCAGGCTCCTTGATGCGTGATTTTCCCTTCTCTCCAGGGACCTTCCTCACCTCCTCCTCGGTTCAGAAACCAACCCGAAGCCTTGCAGAGCTTCTCACGCAGCCGATCTGCAGAAGGCAGCAGGCAGCGCAGGCACCAAGCCCCAGGCTTTGCTCAGCGCCTGGCTCTGTGGCGCTGGCATTGCCGTGCCAGTCAGCATCGTGCCCGGGCATCTGCCAGGGAGGAGAGCTCAGAACAGAGACCTTGAGGCTGTGACAGATAGAGGGAAAGCCAAAGAAAGGCTGTGCTGCACTGCAGCCTGCAGAGAGGATTCCCTGCAGCTTTCCCACCCAGGGCACCCCGTAAAATGGCAGCAGTCCCCTGCTGCAGCCTGGCAGCACGCCTCCTGCCTTGGACACAGAGCCAGGCAAGCCAAGTGCCTCCCCCAGGGAAAAAATTCATGGGGAAACACTCCCCAGCCCTGCCACCCTTCAGGACACGGCTGATGCAGCCCTTGCTGTGCTACAACGGGCTCACGCTGGCACAGGTCTCTGCAGCTGGAGGTCTCACGACCAGCCCCGAGCAACCCCGGCTGGTTGCAGGGTCAGGACGGAGCTGCTCCACGATCTGCACAGGGCTCTCTTTCTGGGCTGGGAAATCCAGAAAGGAAAGAAGTCAGCATCCCCGAGCCCATCTGAGGTTGCTAAGTGACAGCAGCGCTTGTTTCTATCCCCCCTGTTTACAGTGTGCCCACGCCTGGGAGGAAGGAAGTGGAGACTAAAGGAGGTAAACAGAGCATACATTGCCAGAGCTCCCAACAGGAACGGGTGCCAAACGTATACGTTATCTGCACGTTACGGTGACCCTGGGAAAAATTTACTACCCGCCACTTATTCCAGCTGCGGAGCACTTTTACCTGCAAAGAATTTCAGGTATTCGCAGCGTGCGTTCATTTGGCACTTTTTGAGCTGAGATGCATTTCTGGAGCAGCGTCGCAGGGCTGTCAGGGACTGCAAGGGCAGCTGCAAGGAACTGGGATTTCATCGTTACTTTCTGCCTAATAGATGGCTTTTGTTTTTCCAGCAGGATGTGGCATTACGCAGCAGTTGGGAAACCCGGCAGAAACGCAGGGCTGGACAAAGGAGGGATGAACGCATCCTTTGTGCGAGCTGCTGCTGGGGAAGAAATGAGAGGGTTTAGATAAAATAAAGGGCGCACACACTAATCTGTGCCATTGGAATTACGTTGAGAATTGGAAAGGGAGTTAAAAATAGCCCAAATCAGCGCTGCTGATCCAGCTGAGACATTTGCCATCGCCGAGCTAGATGGATAACAGACACCCTTCAAAAAAAAAAGGTGCTTATCACAAAAAGAGATTTAGAAATGAACAGCGTGGGGGCAGACAGACTTGTGCACAACTCGAGCTCCTAACTTGCCTCTGCCACGGAGCAGAGCTCGTGCGCTGGCCCTGATGCAGCGCAGTGACTGCCGAAATGGGAACACGGCACCCAGAGCTGCCACAGCGGATCTGCAGCAGGGCCAGCCAGGCCTGAATTTGGGCACCAACACTGAGAGCCTGGGGAGGATCAAAAGCAGTTAAAAAAAACAAACAAACAGCATCTGCTCCCTTTGCAGAGAAGCAGGCCAGCCAGAGGAGAAAGTAGGGCACAAAGTTGTCCCTTTGCACGAAGGAGAACGACGCGGGGAGCAAGGGATGAGGGATCTGTGTAGGTCGGCCTCCCGAGCAGATCCCCCTGCCAAATCAGAATTAAAATGCAGCCACGATCTCTGATCCCAAGGCACGCTTGCTTTCTGGCTCGGAGGGTGGCAGCCCTCGGGGTGTCCCCACGGTCTGCACCAGGCTGGGGACCTGCAAGAATGACCTGGGTGCTGCTGAAGAACGACAGGAGGCTGAGGGACACCACGCCAACACCCTCGTGGTACAAGTAGCTCCAAGGCAGCCTGCGGCCCCTCCAGGTGCTCCTGCCTGCAGGTGAGGGCACGGCGGCTCTGCTGATGGCAGCGAGGGATGCGGGTGGCTGCAAAATGAGGCTGAGCTGCGCCTGCTGCTGTCCCGAGGCTTCCCGGAGCTGCTGCTGAGGGCCTGGCTCACTGAGAGGGGGATAAGGTTTAGCAATGGGGAGAGCTGGGGGGGTTACAGGTCCCAGTTCAGAGCGGTGATGGCTGGAGAGCCGTGGAAGAGGGACAGGGGTGCGGTGGGGTCTGGTTTTGGGAAGGTGAGTGGAAGGGGCAGCGGGCAGACGTGTCCCTGAGGAGTGGAGGTGGCCTCACCTTTTTTAGGGGTGCTGGGAGCTCCTCTTGGCATGTCCCCAGGGCTCCCGTAGGCTCTGGAGGTGGTGGCTCTGGGCACCCTCCTGGCGGGTGCAGTGGCGGAGCGGGCAGCAAGCCCCGGGCACCTCTGCTCAAACATTTTCCAACCCAAAAGCCCGTGGCCGTGTCACCTCCCTGGTGTGCCCCAAGGCCGCAGGGACATCTCCCACCAGGGGACCGTGGTGTCCCATCACTGCTAGGGGGAAATAAGCCTGGCAGAGCACTGCGGGCCTGAAGAGCAGCCCTGAGCTTTATTTGATGGCGCTCAGCCCAATTAAGCACGTCTGCCACCAGCCTCAGGGCAGGACTGGGGTTTTCCACGCAGATGCCAGCGAGCAGAGCTCCCAGAGACGTGGAGGAAAGCGGGACAGGTCCGAGTGACATTTTATCCACAGCAGGAAAGCAGTGGGGACCGACACACACAGCCCTGCCAGTCCCGGAGCACCCCTCACCACCCCATTGCTGTCCCCCGGGCTGCACAGCCCCCCCTGAGGTCCCAGCCCCCTTCCCCAGCCCCCTGAGAGGCAAACGGCACGAAGGGGCCCTTGCAAAGAGCAGGGCCCCAGCACCCCCGGGAACCTCGCTGGGCTCTGTCCCGCTGCGGGGAGCACCTCTCGGTGCCAGCCTCGTCCTCCAGGCACACACCCAGGCCAGAACCGGCCCCCACAGGGTCAGACATCCCAGCCGTGGCACACACAGGGACTTTTCTTGTTCCAGTTGCACCAAGGCCCCCCTCAGATGATGGTGACGGCTTGCAGCATGTCCGCCAGCACGTAGGAGCTGTCCCAGGGGCGCCCAGGCTGCTGCAGGGCCCCCTCCAGCACCCGGGCTCGTGCCCCAAGCTCTGTGGGGTCGCGCCGCCCCTCGGGGCTGGGCTGGCAGAACAGGATCTCGTTGACCTCCCCGTCGATGCGGCGGGCATAGAGCAGTGGGAAGACTTCCCTGAGGACAGTCAGGACAGATTCCTTCAAGCGGGCGTCACGGCACACCAGGTTAAGCACGAAGACTCCTGCAGCAGGGCGAGAGGGATGTGGGATTCAGAAGAGCAGTCTGCAAGCTCTGACATCCCCCACACAGCACCCTGCTCACCACCTCCTGCACAAACGCAGCCCAGCTGGTGCCACCAGCTCCCTCTCTCTCTTGCACAGCCCCTGGTAGCACGAGGAGCACCCTTGGCCCAGCTCCACGTCCCTGCCAACACCTGGTACCTACCCAGGTACCACCCACACCCGCTGCCTTCCGTACCCTTTCTTCGCACCCACAGCGATTTCTCAGCCCGCCCGACCCCGCAGCGCTGCAGCCCATCCGTTGCACTTCGTGCTCCCTTTCTGTGCCATAACAACGCCCACTAAAACCACATAGAGCTGAAATCTGGGAGCAGCAGCTTCCAGGCAGCCATCCTGGCCACGGCCACTGTTTTCCAGGACGAGGAAGGGTGGCACGGCCCCGTCACTCGGATCCTGCACAGGACCTGCGAGCCCACCCCGGGGACTGCAGGGGCACCACCAGAGCCCCCCTCGTACCTTCTGGCTTGAGGATGGTTTTCACTTTCTGCAGGAAGGGCTTTTCCACGAAGGCTGGGGGCGGGCAGCTCATCCCCACCGTGAGGTCTTTGCTGTCCACATCAAACATGACGGCGTCGTACTGGGCTGGGGCTGCAAGAGGGAACGCAGAGACTCCTTATTCCTTGGGGCAGGGCTGAGCCATGCGGGGCGAGGAAGCAATGAACAGGGAGGTCAGGGCATCCCCTCTACCATATTTCAGCCGTTTCTCTCTCATGGGGTTTCTTTGGGGGGTCATAATGGATGGAAGGAGAGGATTCAGCAGCCCAGGACCCCCGCCCCAGCGCGCACGGTACCTTCAGCTGCCAGCTTGGCCACGTAGTCCAGGCCGTCGGCTACGTGCACCTGCATCCGCTCGCCCTGGGAGAAGCCAAACCAGCAGGTGGCCACCTCCAGCATGCAGGGGTCGATCTCCACCACGGCCACCTGGGCTTGCGAGAAGTAATCGTGGATGAAGAGGGGCAGGCTGCCACCGCCGAGCCCCACCACCAGCACTGCAATCGGGGATCCTGCCAAAAGAGGGCCCGGGTGAGCCCCCAGCACAGTTCCTGCCTCCTCAGCCACCTGCCTGCCCCAAAAACTGCTGCTGGCAGGGCGCTGGGGCTCCGCGGGCAGGAATTCCCCTCCCCACCTCGTCACCTGGGACGGGGTCAGGGCTCCCCAGCAGGCAGAGCCCCGCCACCATGGCTTTGTGGTGCTCGCAGCACAGGTAGCTCTTGTCGATTGCCGTGGGAGGCTCGGCAGGGCCGGCTTTCTTCTTGTCCTTCCTCCGTTTCTTCTGGCCTGAAGGAGAAGAAGTAAGGTGAGGCTGGAGGCAGGGGCTCTTACTGGGGACTCACCACCCCAACCCTGTCCCACCACCAAGGCAGAGAGCAAAAACACTCCCAGAGCCATGCTGGGACAGGGCAGAGCAGCTCCCAGCAGGACTTTTCCCTTCCTCATGCGTACCTGGGGGAGGCGCAGGGGTCAGCAGCCTGGCCTCCGACTGCACCACGTTCCTGTTGCTGAGGAAGACGAGGCGGCGAAAGTAGCAGGCGTCGTCCCCCTTGACGTCCTCCACCACGTACTCCCCACTCAGGGGGCTGCTGTCGCAGTGCCGCACCGTGCGCACCCCGATGTCCCCTCCCACAGACAGGAAGGGCACCTGCAGGGAGAACGGGGACGTGGGGCAGCAGCCAGGCTGTGGGGACGGCCGCTGGCCCTGCCCTGAGCACAGCTGGAGGGTTGGGGTGAAGCAGATGCGCTTGGGGGGCAGTGGGATGAGCTGTGGGCATTGCACGGGGGACACCAGGCATTACAGCTCGGTCTCCCTCAAAGCAGAGGAATTCGGGGCTGGCTGAGGAGCTCCTAGCCCTAATTTTGGGGTAGCTGAGCGAGCGGGCTCACCTGCTGCCGGGCGGGGAGGCCCGGCGGGGCCAGCTCCATCACCTTCCCCGACAGCTCCGCCTGGATGCTGGCCATGCCCTCGTAGCGCTGCTCCCTGTGCAGGGCCACGGTCACCAGGCGGCCGAAGCCAGCGCTGGCGGCCAGCTGCCTCCGCCCGTCCTCCGTCCCAAAAAGCCACTCGGTTTCTCTGCCCTGCGGGACTGCAGATGGGGGCTGCGGTCAGGAGAGCCCCGGGCAGGTGCTGGTCCCCACGCGACCACCCCGGCCTTCAAGGGAGGAGCTGAGAAGCATCACGAGGAGGTACCGCGGCGTGACGCGGCCTCGCACCTACAGCCACGCTCCACAAGTGATGACCAAGAGCCAGGGCCTTCTGGCAGAGCCTGATGCAGCTCTAGAAATACCTGTCCCGCTGCAGAGCTAAGACCTCAATCAAACCCCCAAAACACAAACCATTTCCCTCTCCAACTCCAACAGGACCAGGACCACTGCTGGTACAGCAGCTCCTGGGTGGAGCAGTGCCAGGCTGCAGGCAGGAGCTGTACTCACTGATGAAGATGGCGAAGCGATTGTCCCGGGAGGGCTTCACCGAGGGGCTGTCGACCACGTGCAGCGTGTAGCGAGGCCTCCCGCTGACTTTTTCACACAGATCCAGGGAGAGCTGCTCTCCGCAGGGGGTTTTGCTCAGCTGGCTGCAGAGCAGGGCGTAATGCTGCCTGTCCCTCACCGCCTCCACCAGCCGCTCCACGCTCTCCATCCGCATCGGTTTGTCCTGCTCCTCGGGGCAGATCTCCAGGATCTGCTGCGCGGAGCCAGGGATCTTCTTGAATTTTGTCATGACGTACACAAAGACAGGCAGGACGAACTGCTGCTCGTCCCCGCTGCCGGCCACCTCGTGGACACGCACCACCCAGCCTTCTTGGGAGAAGTATTCCACCGCCTTCTTGAGCACGTGGGCCTGAGCCAAGGAGACGCAGAGGTAGCGCCCTCCTACCTGCAGGACCCGGCTGACCTCGGCAAACATCCTGTCCACCTTGGACAGAGTGGCCTCCTCGTCATCAGTGAGGATGGCATCCAGCGTGCCTTTGTCGAGGACCACCTGGAAGTGGGCGTCAGGGAAGTCCATCTGGAGCACGTCCATCAGCATGTAGCTCATCTTCGGCCTCTTGCCGGCGCTCCGCTCCTGCATCTGACGGATCACAGCCTCGCTGATGTCGATGTTCACGATGTCCTCGCACATCCCCGTGTCGTATATCTGCTCGCTCAGCTCCGAGTTCCCACAGCCAACCACGAGAACCTGGGAAGTGGGACAAGAGCAGCCGTGACGGTGTGAACACCCTGAATATGCATCCCAAAAGCATTTTACAAGCAAACACCATGGGCATCAGCCACGAGCTCATGGAAAGCTGCACCTGTAGGACCTACAAACCCACCCTCCAAGGCCCTAAAATAACATTTTTATAGAGACAAGTCACCCTGGCACAGAGGGATGAAACTACAGTGCATATCTCTGGGGGAATTATGTGTGTGTTTCAGCCCCCAGAGCCCCCTCCTAGGGGGACACGTAGCCCTCTCCTGTGCTCTTGCTTAAAGGGCACTGGAGGCTTTGCATGTTTTGGGCCGGGAGCTGACACCGCTTAGGGCACCACGTGTCCCCTCAGCGAGCCAGATCTCCCTGTGTTGCTGAGTTAGGGGAGGGTAAAGCAGGGTTAAAGCTCCCCGAACCACATACTCAGAGGAGGGGCTGAAGAAGCACAGCCTTCCACAGCAGGACACCACCCGAATTAGGGGGGGGAGCTCCCAGGCGGGGCCAAACCCTGCTGGGCCGCAACCCGCCGCGCCGGGGCCTCACCTTATCGCGGGGCCGGATATACTTGCGCAGGACGGGGCAGAGCTCGGGGAAGGCCCCGTACCACTCGAAGGGCCGGCGGCCGCGCTGGCGGAAGAAGCGCTCCCAGTACCGGGAGGAGCCGAACTCGGCGGGGCCTCGGGGCAGCAGCTCCATGGCGGGGCCCGGCCTCGAACCCGCGGCCCCCCGCCGGCGCGCCCCACTGCTGACGTCACCCCCGCGCGCGGCGCGCCCGTTCCGCGCAGCCGATTGGCTGCCGCCCTCCCCTCGGCCGCTGCCTATTGGCTGAGCGCCGGGAAGCGCGCCAAATTTGGCCCCTGGTGGCGCGCCCCGACCACGCCGCGCCGGGACCGGGACCGGGACCGGGACCGCGAACCGGGGAGAGGAGAAAAAGGAGCGGGCACGGCTGGGAGGGAGCAGCTTTAATAGGGGCGGGCCCGGGTGCCGCGGGAAGGGCCCTAGGGCAGCGCGGAGCCGCTAGCTGGGGCCGGTGGGGGGCTCCGCGGAGCTGCTCTGGAGGAAGAAGGCGGAGAGCTCGCTCAGCGCGCGGTAGCGGTGCGAGATGGAGTTCTTCACGGCCTTGGGCAGCTCCGCGTAGCTGGAGGGGGGACAAAGCGAGGCAGAATCAGCAGCTGAGGTGCTGCAGGACATCCCCCCGCCCCTGAGAACCCCCCCTTTGTGTGCAGGCCGCTCAGAGAGTGGCAGTGACGCACCCCCAAGGTCCATCCCAAAGCAGGATTCCCCATAACCCCATTCAAGTCCAGACAGTGTTTTCTCCTTGCCACCATTCCTTGTCAGCACATTCCTCTCGACACGGTAACAAAACACAGCCTCAACCCCTTCCTTTCCCTAAAACTAAAGGGCTACAGACAAAAAGCGACTCACGTCTGGTCATAGCCGTCCGGCTGGAAGCAGGGATCCCAGCCAAAATCTCGAGGGCCTCTGGGCTCCACGATCAGCCCCTGCCACGAGAAAGCCAAAAAGCCCTGTGAGTCGTGGGGCCTCAGCACTCCTCTTGCTTCCCTTCGAAACCCCGTTGTCCTTAAGAGAGCTGATAAGTTAAAAAAGCTGCGTTACAATCCCCCCCCCCATCAACACCTACATGTGTCTGGCCTTTGAAGAGCTTCACGGGCTCCTCCGGGTTTCCAGTGCTGAATGCAAAGGTGCAAAGAGCGTAGGCAGATTTGTCTTCAAACCCAGCCAGCAGCTTGTACAGGCCTGAGCAACACAGAGAGGGTCCTGGTGTCAGGGCGTTTCCAGCACAGCACCACACACCCACCTAGAGAGGGCTCACGGCACTTTGGTGTGGTCACACCAACAAGGAAGAGGAATGACAGCAAACAAAATTTGGTAAAAAACGTCAAATAAGACGCTCGTGATGCCAGTAAAGAAGCCAGAAGTCCCCCAGGTGAACCAGGTCTGCCAGGTCCCCCACGCAAAAGACAAAGAAATCCCATTCGGGCAGCAATTTGGGAACCCAGTGATGCAGGGATGACGCTGAAGCTCCTGGGGGAAACCATGAGCAGTGAAGGACACAGGACGGGCTCAGAGAGAGAACACAACGGGACAGACAGAAAAGGAGCCAGCTATGAAGTGCGCAGCCAGGTGGGGAGACGACACACTCAGCAGCACCCAGCACAGGCTGCGATTTGACCCCCGTGGCTCCACAGCTCCATTTGCCCCCAGGAGCCCAAGTTACACGCAGAGCAGCGCACAAGAGGCAGTACCTTCTGGTTTGAGCTTCTCCAGGAACCATTTTCTGAAGGAGAAAAAAAAAGAGATGACTTTTTGATATTAATACTCAGAAATAAAGGCATCCTTGAGGCACTGTTGTCTACGTTTTCATAGCTCTTTAAATCCCTCTGAAACGTACTGTCAAATCACCTCATTCTGGGCTCTTTACCTAGCTCTTAAGCTAAATAGGACACAGTAAAAAAAAACGTGGGGTATTTAATTAACTGCTATACTAAGGTCAAAGTCAATAACTCAGTTTCTACTCATGAGCACCAACAAGCTGAAGTACATTCCTCAATTCAACTTGTTCACATTTTACACCCAGTTCTAGCACACACATAACTAGATAAAGCTTTAATGCCTTTGCTTAGCTCAGCAGAGCCTGGAAGAGGGTGGTGCGGAATGAAGTGAAGGACGTAGACCAGTAATCACCTCCCTGAACCTACTGATCCTGGTGCATGGAGCATCAGTCCCCCGCGAAGCGTGTCCCACCAAGCTGCGCTCCTCACTCTAAACAAGAGCTGAAGGAAGTTCCCACCTACTTACATGTATGGCCCTGGAAGCCCCCCCAGGGCATTGAAGCACAAGCAGGTATCCTCTACTATAACAGGTCCCCGAACCTACAGCAAAAGGTAGAAGCATTAGACCTAGAGGAAAGCACTGCCTCCAACCTTATTATCTTACTCAACCCCATTCTCGTGCTTCCAGGATAACAGGGACATCACAAAAACCCAGCAGCCATTCTGTCACCTCAGTGAGGGCCCTCACCAGAGGGACACAACCAAACCTTTGCCCTCCCCAGCAGGCAGAAGGGAGGGAAGAGTGGCAGGGAAGACCTTTGGCGGGGGAAAATGAGCAGAGCTGTGCAGTACTGCCCTCACGGGGGGCAGGAACAGTGGGATGGGGAGAGGGAATGCTGAGGCCATGAAGATAAAGCTGCGTTTTCCGTGAGCCCCAATCTTCACTCGTTTATTTTTTAAAACCGGAGGCAGGTTTAGAAGGTGACCATGAGGAACTGGTGGAAAATTATAAATCCCACAAACGTCGGGGCTGCCCTGCGGGGCCTGCCGTGTCCCCGCAGCGCTGAGGAGACACGAGAGGCCCCCACACGGGGCACCCCCGAGGAGCACCAGCAGCGGGGCCGCCACAAACACCCAGCACCCGGCAGCGGGAGGCAGACGGAACGGCGGCGACCTGGCGGGCGGCTTCGCGGCACTTCTGCACGGAGATCTCGTCCGGCTCCCCCTGGTACTCGGGCACTGCGGGCCGGGACACGGAGTTAGAGACGGGAAGAGACGGAGGAGGAAGAGGAGGAAGAGGAGGAGGAGGAGGAGCGCCGCCCCCCTCACAACTCACGGTCGATTTTCCTGGCCACCAGCGCGTACGGAGAGGAGTCCCCGAGGATCTGCACGACCTGCGGGAGGCGGGCGGCCCGTCAGCACCGGGGCCGGGGCTAGGCCCAAAGCCAGGCCTAGGCCTCAGGCCTGAGGCCTGGGCCCGGGCCGCCGTTGCTAGGCAACCGCCGTTGCTAGGCAACCGCCCCCCCCCACCTCCTCCAGCTTCTTGGCGTTGCCCGTCACGAACACCACGCTCCGCCGGGCCGGCGCCGCCATCTTGCCTCGCGCCTGCGCGGCCGGCAGCCAATCAGCGGCGCCCGCCGCCTCGCCCCTAGCAACGGGCAGCCAATCGCGGCTCAGCTCGGGGGTTCTCGCGAGAGTTGCGCCGTGAGGGGGAAGGTCGCCATGGTGACCGCGGGGTGATGGAGGCATCGCCTCAGCGCGGCTCGGCCCGGGCCCTCTGAGGGGAGGCGGCCGCGCCCCGCCCCGCTTCAGCCTCGCCCCGGCTCCGGGCAGGCCCCGAGGTTCCAGCGGGGGCCGAAGGAGGCGCTGCGGCTTTGTCCGAGCTCCCCGCCCGCTGCCCCGGCCTTGTGCCTGCCTCCGCGGGAGGGAGCTCGGGGCGCACCTGTGAGGGCCGCTGGCAAAAACAGGGGGAGCCGGAGCCGAGCTCACGAGGCGCTGCTGTTGGTTCGCACGGAAACAAATCGGTCACCTCTCTGCCACACGGACACTGCTGGGTGTGTGCAGGGCGCTGGGAAAAGAGCTGAGCCCCGCAGGAAGGGGGCAGCAAAGGCTGGTACTCCGCTAGGAGCAGCCCCACTGCAGCACCCAGCTCCCCTCTCCTCATTTGTTCCTGTTTTCCAACAGGGTTTCTAAAGGGAAGCCTCCTTCCCCCTGGCCAGAGCAGTGCCCGGAGCCAGGAGCATGGAGACCTGTCCTCACCTGCCTCAGCGTGTAGCCAAACATCTCTATAGCCCCCTGCCCGTGGGCACAGGGACCTCAGGGTTCCTTCACAGCAGTGAGCCTGGGAAGAACCGGCGCTGCAGGAGGAACGTACAGCGCCAGCCAAAGCATGCCATGCCCCGTGAAAGGCGATCGCGTGGAAAACAGCAGCTAGGGAGGAGATCTGTCATCTGCACAAGGAGGAAATGGGTAAAACAGACCCCACACCCGGGTGATGGAGTTGTTTTTGTTGTGAAATCTCCTTCATAACATCTAAGTGAAAACCAACCCCAAAGCACTCAGACGGCTTCTGCCCAGCACAGCTGGGAATGACAGCCCCTCCCAGTCACTACAGTTCCCTAAATAGTCCATGGTGGGACTACAGAGGCAGCACTATAAAGACCAAGGCACTGTTAAGGGACTCAGGGAGGATGCTCTGTAATATACCTGAGCCCAGATATCTTAATGGTATTTTCAGCCTTAAAAAGAAATCCATAAAACTTGCTCAATTACTTGTATTACTGTTAGAAGTTAGTGGCCAGGACTGTTGATTTACTGCTGCTGCTGTCTCTTGGTTCCGTTCCCCAGCCAGAGCTGGTCTCTTCAGACAGTCTGTGCTCAGGACAATGCTGGCATTCAGTGACTTGAGCCCCAAACAGACCAAAACCTAATCCTGGCAACCCAGAGGAGAGTCCTCAGGGCTGTGGCAGCTTTTTGCCCTGCCTCCCAAGTACAAACACTTGCAGCCCAACATCCTGGGAGATCCTGGGATCCAGCACTGTCACGGATCAAGGTCCTTCTGTGGGTGGCAGCAGGAGATACGAGATGGGGCTGGCAGAGAAAGGCAGAGGTGGTGGCGAGGCTGTCCAGAAGCAGGAGTAAACCTGCCCTCGGGCAGCAGGAGCAGGCACAGCACAGCCCGTACAGACTCACGGGGCTGTTAACTCGTTTTCCAGCTGGCAGGAAAAGGCACCCTGAAGACCTGCCACCCCCCAAGACAGACGCCCTCCCTCTTTGTCTGCCCTCTCAATCCTTTGCAGGTGGTGAGCAGCTGGAGGCACAGCCAAGGTGATTTTTATCACTTCCACTGAGTGCACGATTTTGCCCTCTGGGCCTTCAAGCGTGGCTACGTGTTAGGAAGAAAATCCCAGCTTGGCTTTCGGATTGCCACCTGGAGCGAGCAAACCCCACAGAGGGGAAAAGCCCTGTTTATACATCAGCAGGGCAAGTGGAGCTTGTAATCGCATCCGGCACTCCAGCCTGCTGTGCTCACTTTTAATCCCCTTCTCCACGTGGTGCAGCGCCTCTGCTCAGGTGGAAACTGCACACAAGGTCCTGGGCCCGCACGAGGAGGCTGGGAGATAGCACTGGTGGTTCTCGGGGGCACCATTTCCCCCTCTCCATGTGAAATTCCGTCAGACACAGGCCAAGCAGGACAATGCTTCTCTCACCAGAAGGCGGACAGCAAAAGAAAAGCCAGGAGAGTTTTGCTCCTGTTTTGTCCAACACAAGGGCCCTACACCACCCCAAACTCCCCAGCCTTGGGGCACGAGCCCCAGGCACCGGATTGCAAAGAAGCAAAAGGAGCTGGCACTGATTTAAGGCCAGCTGCTGCCCTCCCACTGTGTCTTACATCCCTGGGCTAAGGGAGCTGGGCTTTACACGCTTCTCCCTTCTGGTTAATAAAACACTGGAAAAAAAAAAGCACCTTTCCTAGGGATTCGCAGCAGTGGAGAGCAGGAACATGCAGGAACTTCACGTGTACAGTCAAAAATAGGTTTACTGGAATGTCTTTAGTCACAGCTTTAAGCAGCAATACTGAAAACACCGAGCTTGTGCATTCCCATGGCAGGACCATAAATAAAGTCTTCGGGATTGTAAAACCTAATTATTATTATTATTATTATTTCTTTTTGCAAACGAGAAAAACACCACCCTTGCAGTTCTGCACCGAAGGGCCAGTTTCCTGTAACATAATTAGTGGCACCTTTCTCTTTTGCTCTTTTCCTCCTCCATCACCCCAGGGAAAGGACAGAGCCCCCTCTGCCTTCCGCAGCAGGGAGCGGGGAACGGCTCCAACTGGAGGCATTATTACAACCCAGCCATATATACAGATAAACCCTAACGGCAAGTAGCCGGCTCCAAAGCAGAGACTCAGCGTGCCACAAAACGAGCGTTTTGGGAACTGAACCTTGTTATAAAAACGTCAGCGGGAGCCAGGTACTCAACCAAAAAAAAAACAACAAAAAAGGGTCTTTTGGCAGGTCTCAGTGCTCTGTTAGAGCTGGCTACTTGCCGCCACCTCCTTGGAGGAAAAACAACTTCAAAGCTATATACAGATATCTCACTTAAGTTACACAGCAGTTTGCTTATCCCACAGCCGGCTCCATCAATGTCTTGGCTGCCCCATCAGGTGTGGTACTTCAGGACTATGGGAACTGGAAAAAAAAACACGGAGAAACAAGCTCTCAGCCACGCTGAGCTGAACCAGAAAGACAACCCTTCCCCTCCGCAGTGACAACTGGCGAGCAGCCACAAGGGAAAGTGTGTTTCCAAGCTCAAACCAATGCAATCTGCTGCCTGCACACACGCTAGACAAAATTTCCTGCCACCTTCGTCTCCTTCCAGCTTTCCAGAATTAAACCAGATGGGATTTTCCATCAGTCTCTCTCCCTCTCCAGTGCTTGACCCCGCTGCCAGCTCTGCCTCTCCTACTTCTATCTGTGGCAGCAGGGCAACAGGCCAGGGGGCTTTGCTGAAGGGCAGCAAAAGAACTGTTAGAGAGAAGCCCCCAGAGAAAATTAATACAAAAATAAAATAAACTCACTGGCACCAGCCCTTAAACCACCCCTGCCAGCTCTCAGTCAGTGCAACGCTGGCTTTCTGTGGCAAGTCAGGGGGGTTTGGCTTGAGCCCACTCCTCTGCGTGCAGGGGTAAGCCTCGCAGAAGAGAATCAGGGTGTGGGCTACGCATGCTGCTTGTGGCTGCTACACAGAGTGAAGAATTTCAGCGCCAGACACGGCTGGAGTGACCCCAAACTACTCACTGATGATCACGAGCAGGAGGACAACCACCACCAGCGCTATGATCGCCTTCATCTGCAAGAAGAGCACAGAGGTGTGTTACACGTGGCACCCTACATAGCTCCTGCACCTTCCCAGCTAGAAAAACGCTTCCGTTTAGTTTTTGTTCTTATTGTGTTTTATTTTTAAACTCTTGGCTTCTCCATCCCCTACCAGCGGAGGGCTGGCTCCTGTACCAGCAGTGCCACCTCCAGGGGTGCTCCAAGACCCTCATCCTGCAGCGTTCACACCTACAGACAAACCTACAGGGCAGGTGCTCCCTCTAGCTTAAATTGCTCCCTTGTGTTTCCACCATGCAGTGACCCCGTCGTTTGGCCCCGGGCCGGAGGACCCGCATGAAGAAAACCACTCCAGCTCTCGCTCACCTTGCAGCCTCGCCACCACATCTGCCTCCGGAGCTGCTTGGCTCTGTTGCTAAAAGCTGTGGCGTTGTCCGATAAGCTTTCTGCGGAACGAGAGAAGAGAGGCGACTGAGCAGAGGCACAGAGCCCCCGCTCATCCCAACAACTCCACTTAGCTTCAAGCAACGAACTTGGCAAGAAGGGAGAAGCCCAACCACAGCGTGATTCACCCAAAGCCACAGCAGACGCCAATGCACCGCCCCTCGCTAGAGAGCGCACGCAGACCGGAGGCCCACTGAGCCCCCTTTGTGCTGCCTCTGCCCTCTGAGGACAGGAATTCCCTGTGCAAGGCAGCAAACGGGCGGACAGCTGAACGCTCAGGGCCAACGGGGGACAGACTGAGCCACACCAGCGTGAAGGATCGACTAGGTCATGGCATCCCAAACGCCTCTGAACTAAAACCTCGGCACTTCCATGCCTAAATCTCTTAGGAGGCTGCCTCCACATCACTGCAGCGATGATGAGCCCAGAGGGGAGCCAGGATGGCTGAGCACCAGCTGGCTGCAGGAGGAGGCCAAGGAGCAGGTGAAGTGACAGAGGAGGGAGCAGTTCCTCGGGGTGGTTAGATCCCCAGGCTGCTTAGTGACCACAGCAGGGTGAGGGGCTGACTGATGGACACTGGTCAGTGTGGGCTGGGGCCGTGCAGAGCAGCAGCAGAAGGTGGAAAGAGGAAAATGTAGGAAAAGTTAAGTTAAATCTGCAGCCCGAGACACAAATACAAGCCCAGGTCCGTCACCGGGCACCTGGTTGTGAGATGAAAGCAGGGAGTCTGGCCCAGCAGTGGGGAAGAGATGTGGGGAAAAGGACAGACAGACAGCAAAGCTGCACGTAGCGTCACACCTGATTTATCCTGCAGGTCGTCCAGCCGCTCGCCTCTTTCGATCACCTTGGTGATGTTCTCCTGCATGACATCGATGACTTCGTCCACCTGGTTCTGGACACTAGAGCAGAGCAAAGCAAAGCCGAGGCAGCGTGAGCGGCAGGCAGCGAGCACCTCCAGCTGCACGCTGCAGCACCGACCCTCGCTCCGAGCTGACCAGGTGAGCTCAGTGGCAAAAAAAAAAAACAAGGGGACAACGGTGGAGGGAGGCTGAGGGGGTGCTGAGAAAGTTTGAGATGAGGAAGGAATGAGAAAGGCATGGCATCGTGTGGGGTGCGTGTCTGGGAATCCCAGGTAGGGCAAGGAATGCAAAGGGCTCTAAGAGAACGCTGGAAAGTCAGCAGAAGTGGGGCAACCTCCCCTCACGGGCAGGCACAGTGATGCAAACACACGATGTGAGCAGGAACCACCGTCACCAGCACGCATCTGCCTGGGGATTTAAACTGAACGGCTTTAATGCAGCGTGAGGACATCACAGAACTTCCTAACCAGAGCACTGGGAGCCTTTCACACACAAACGAAGCAGGAAAAGGCACGGATTGGTGTGGGCGGGCACCTTTGCTGTAGAGGAGTTCACACCAAAGTGGGAAAAAAACATCCCACCTTATCTTCCCAAACCCCACAGAAGCCAGCACCGCACCTTTGTTAAATAACTCAGAGTGAAATCAAAGCAAGGTGCACTCCCCCGCGCTGGGAGCCGAGCTGCAAAATGAAAATCCACTCTGCCAGGGGCCTCGAGAGGACAGGAAAGAAATTGCCGATATGAACTGAAGCAACTTATTAGAATCCATCTTCTCACAGGTTACGCAACTCTGTGGGTAGTCGTTTCAGTGAACAGTAGCCTAAATCACACCCGCAGGGTTATTATAAATGTATTTATTCACTCCATAAAAAAGCTGCATTGGTAAGAGAGAAAAATTCTCCTGGTGGAAAAATACTGCTACGGGCTGGTTTGTATTTTGGAACTAAATACACTTTTATTTTCCTGGAGATAGAAATAAGACATTTCTTGGGGCCCTGGGGAGACAATGGGGTATGTCCGAGACATACCGATCTCAGAAAGTAAGTGGCAACAGCAACGTCTTGGAGGCAACACCACACACAAGGCAACGAGACTGAAACGGCTCCAAGCCACTCGCTCTGCAGGAAGTCTTTCGTTCAGCTTCGTAGCGTGCACTGATTTAAAAACAACTAAGCACTTCAAAGATAGCAAAATATATCAAAATGTGTATTTGTCATCGGTGTCCCCAAGGGGAAGGCCTGCCCCCACCTCATCATTTGCACCCATGTTCTCCAACTCACCAAATCATCCCATTTCCATATTCCTCTTTGAACCCACTGAAAACCTTCTCCTGCCCATTGGCATCATTTTGATAGAAAATTCAAAGACGTTATTTGCCAAAATAGTTGTTTTTTGTTTTTTTTTTACAGCTGCAGACCCAGCCCCACCACGTGCAGAGCCATCATCGTGCAGCATGTAGCCTCAGCAGCACCCGGCAAGAAGAGGACAGCACAACCTGCACCGTGACCTGGGAAAACGGGGCAAAAGAGACCCGGAGCAGCGTGCCCAAAGCTGGTCAGTGAGGCCCTGCACAGCCAGGAACAGAGCTCGGGGACGGGGCCCTATCTAATTAGAGGCCACTATGCCTTTAATTAAAAGACACTGAGTTCTGGTTCGCACTGACCTAATTCTCCTGCCTCCCTGACAGCTCGGTGCCTCTTGCTGAGCAGACACTTGTGCCGAGATGCACACACGAGGAGCAGCTGCAACGAGCTATAGTGGCTTCAATGGAAAAGCACACGTTCCCTTAGCCTTCCAAAACTGGGAAAGGCACTAAAAGGCTTTTTTCTCCCCCTGAAGCTGTATAAAAAGCTGGAAACGCAGCAATGCGAGGGGGCTTCCCACCTGAGCATTTCAGGTCAGGCTTTGTAGTGCTGCTGCACTGCAGCTTCTGGAGCGGGAACAGCCAGGCGAGCCCTCAGGAGCCAATTTCTGACTCATCAGCCCTCGTACGGCACATGCCGGGCTCCGGCAGCACACGCAAATCCTTGCTTTCTTTAGGATGCCACAGGAAAGGAACCTGCCTTCCCCGTGCTGCGTCTCTGCATCCGCCTACAGCGCGCAGCAGCAGCCTCTGCCTCGCACACCGGTGGCAGCTGCTCGCCAGGAGTTTCCTATCTGGAGGGGAAAAGGCACAGAAAATCCCCCGCTGTCCCTCAGCAGAAACCTGCCCCAAACCCACCAGCCTGTTTGGACCCACCACGCATTTTGCAAAGTAAGAAGCAAGCAGCAGAGCTGCACAGGAGGTGGCACTGAGGACAGGAAGC